GAGTAAGACTGTCTCAAAAACAAACAAACAAAAACCAAAACAAAAACAAACAAAAAAACAAAAAAAACCTGAGGTCAAAATAAGTGAACCAATCTTTTCAAGGTACAGATCCAATTATCCACCCCACCCTGTACACTTACATGCTCAAAAACCACCCTCCCAGGAGACACTGCACTATGCCCCCATGAATGTTCCAGGTGCATTTTATGCCATCTTACTGGGGTCAGATTTTTGTCTTTTGGAGGTTTTTTTTTTTTTTACAAATTTTTGATGATTTTTCTTTCACTATTTTTCTGCCACACCCAAGAGAATCCAAGGGGCATAAATTATTTGGTTTTCCCTCAATACCAGCATCTGATTGGCTGACCAGCAATGTGTCTCCAAGAAATGGAAGCTAGGTTGGATGAAGACAATCTTCCTGTCTCAAGGGGTTAGCTTTTCCAAAAACAAACAAACAAACAAAAAAACGCACAAGGAGATGCTTTTCAGCCCCAAGGCTGCCACCTGCTCCCTTGAGAGGCTACACTCCATACTTCAGGTAGTCCTATGGGAGAAAATGATCAAGGGCTAATAGTCACTAGACACTCTAGCAGACATAGCCATGGTGGGTATCTTGGTTTATCCCCAGAAAGTACTAAAATCCAGGACCAGAAAAAAAACAGAAGGTTGCCTGAGGACACATCACCCTATAAAGTTTCCGAAGAGTAATCTTGACCCGAAAACATTCCGTTAAGTTCTCTGGCAATATAAAGGAAAAAGAGGCACAGATATTTTTTACAATACAGTGTCAGGGGAGTATTCCTTGCTTTCTTCTCATAAGAACTATTTACAAACAAAAAACAAATTTTTCATTAGTATTATGAAACGCTTTAAACAAATTATTAATTGAGGAACATGGGGTACACTTGAGGCCCTGCTTGGGACACATGTGAAAAATGCCAGGGATAATCAGACCCCTATGGGGTGTGAAAATAATTAAGGTGCAGGCAATTAGACTGAGGAGGCTCTAGTCCCCGGATTCCTACTTCCAAAAAAAAAAAAAAAAATCTAAACTCAAGTGCATTTTTCCGTAAATTACTACATTAGGGGAAACAAAATTCAGGCTTAAAGAGCTATAAACTGCCAATTAAGCTCTGAATACATAACCAGGAAATTTCCACCTTGATTGCACAAATTAAGAAACTACGCAACTCTATAGCTTAACCATTATTGAATTTGGTTTTCTTCATCATGCACTTTATAAATGTCTTTTATGCAAGCCCCAACCATGGACCACAAACTACAAAGCTGGGTGCTCCACAATTCTTGAATCACTCTTTGATTAAATTATTTGATATTTTGGCAGTGACTCACATAATTTTTTTTTGAGACAGGGTCTTGCTCTGTCGCCCAGGCTAGAGGGCAGTGGCGTGATCTCAGCTTACTGCAACCTCCGCCTCCCAGATTCAAGACATTCTCTCACCTTTGCCTCCCGACTAACCGGGGTACAGACATTCACCATCACACCCAGTTAATTTTCGTATTTTTAGTGGAGATGTATTTTGGCCAAGCTGGTCTTGAACTCCTGACCTAAAGTGACCCACCAGCCTCGGCCTCCCAAAGGGTTGGGACTACAAGCGTGAGCCACCGCGCCCGGCCCCACAAATTCTTAATTGGTCAAAAGGAAACTGTGAACCCCACGACCAAAGCTCTCCCCATGCATGAACCCGCACTCCGAATCAGGATTCTCCCCTGACGACCCTCCCCTTGGTTCCTGCACAATCTGGGAGAGACGTGGCCCTGCCAGTGCAGACCTGCCCGGAGAGGGCTCCAGGCCAGGGCACAGTCACCACGCAGGGAAGAGACAGGACGCCCGGGGCCCCGGCTGTCAGCGCAGCCGCCATCTTATGGCTGAAGGGGACTGAGGCCGAGCTGGGCAAGGAGAACTCCGGGCGCCGATTGTGGAGCTGACTGCAGGGAGACCTGAGGGCCCGCTACAGCCACCTTCCACTGGATTCAACCAGCCCCCCGCCCACCTCTCGAGATGTCGGACCGGACACATTCACCATTTCTAGGTTTCCAGGGGGTCCCGGAGTCTTAGCTGTGAATCTTTCAATACGTGCAGGTCACAGGACCACAAAAGCTGGGCCGGTAGGAGCAGAAGACACAGAGCAGTGAAGACAAATCCTTGAGCTCCAGCTGCAGGGACAGACAAAGGCCCCGCCAAATCCGAAGCCGTTCTCTTCGCTCCAGCTGCGTGCCTGATTGGACGGTTTCCAGCCCGATGTCCCCGATTGGATAATCCTTAAGGCCCCGCCCCCTCAGGCTCTGAGTGACAGAAGATGAGATTAGACGCTGGGCTGAATGAGAAAAGAACAGCCTAACCTGCGGACATTTCAGGCAGGGCTTCCTCCCTGAGCTGAGCCTGGCCCATCCCAGAGCATGGGAATATTCTCTTTTACTCTCTCTGTTTTTGAATGTATTCAAAAGGTGAACAGAAGTATTTTGCTGTCATATTAGTAATACCTACAATTTTTGTTCAAGAAAAAATCAACTTTTACTTTGGTAATAGTGTATTATCTATACCAAAACTAAGTTTAATATAACTTTATAAATAAACCAAAGTTGTCATTTTTGACCACTCCAGATTTACATATATATTTTGTAATCTCTTGTATTTTTTTAACTTTTTATATTTTATTTGTATTTACATTCTTTTTAGTTTTTCAGTTTGAAACAACCTTTAAGTAATTTCAAACTGCTATAAGAGACAGAAAGAAATCATTTAAGGACGGGCGTGGTGGCTCAAGCCTGTAATCCCAGCACTTTGGGAGGCCGAGACGGGCGGATCACGAGGTCAGGAGATCAAGACCACCCTGGCTAACCCGGTGAAACCCCGTCTCTACTAAAAAATACAAAAAAAATCTAGCCGGGCGAGGTGGCGGGCGCCTGTAGTCCCAGCTACTCGGGAGTCTTGAGGCAGGAGAATGGCGTGAACCCGGGAGACGGAGCTTGCAGTGAACCGAGATAGCGCCACTGCACTCCAGCCTGAGCAACAGAGCGAGACTCCGTCTCAAAAAAAAAAAAAAAAAAAGTTTTAAAAAGCGTGCGGTTGCGGTGGCTCACGCCTGTAATCCCAGCACTTTGGGAGGCTGATGCGGGCGGATCACCTGAGGTCAGAAGTTAGAGACCAGCCTGACAAATATGAAGAAACCCCGTCTACACTAAAAATACAAAATTAGCTGGGCGTGGTGGAACATGCCTGTACTCCCAGCTACTCCGGAGGCTGAGGCAGGAGAATTGCTTGAACCTGGGAGGCAAATGTTTTAGTGAGCCGAGATCGTGCCACTGCACTCCAGCCTGGGCAACAAGAGCAAAACTCCATCTAAAAAAAAAGTTTTGTTTTGTTTTTTTTTTTTTTTTGAGGCCTTGAATCTTGCTCTGTCGCCCAGGCTGAAGTGCAGTGGCCAGATCTCGGCTCACTGCAAGCTCCGCCTCCCGGGTTACGCCATTCTCCTGCCTCAGCCTCCCGAGTAGCTGGGACTACAGGCACCCGCCACCTCGCCGGCTGAGTTTGTTGACAAGTGATCCTCTCCGCCTCCCAAATCTTGGACAATTATGTAACTAAAGTTTTTTTTTTTAATTTATAAATTAAAGGGAAATTGTAAAATACAATAGAATTCCTCTTCAAGGTTTAGGTCTGTTAACGCTTTCTTGTTCTTTGTTCTCAGACTCAACTTTCTTTGTTCTCATGCCTCCTTGCCCCTAGTTACTGTAACAATCTTGCTTTCCATCAGCTCTAATCAATAACTCACATCTGTTCCTTGATTACTCTTTGAGACGGAGTCTTGCTCTGTCGCCCAGGCTGGAGTGCAGTGGCCAGATCTCGGCTCACTGCAAGCTCCGCCTCCCGGGTTCACGCCATTCTCCTGCCTCAGCCTCCCGAGTAGCTGGGACTACAGGCACCCGCCACCTCGCCCGGCTAGTTTTTTGTAATATTTAGTAGAGACGGGGTTTCACCGTGTTAGCCAGGATGGTCTCGATCTCCTGACCTCGTGATCCACCCGTCTCCGCCTCCCAAAGTGCTGGGATTACAGGCTTGAGCCACCGCGCCCGGCCACAAAGTTTTTTTTTTTTAATTATAAAAATTAAAAGGGGGAAATTGTAAAATACAATAAAATTCCTCTTCAAAGGTTTAGTCTGTTAACTTTCTTGTTCTTTGTTCTCAGACTCAACTTTCTTGTTCTCCATGCCTCCTTGCCCCTAGTTACTGTAACAATCTTGCTTTCCATCAGCTCTAATCAATAACTCACATCTGTTCCCTTGATTACTCACTCTGCACCCTTTCCACCCTTCAGAACCAAACGTCCTAGCACTGTGACTTATACATGCCCCTTCCCTTCCTTATTTGGAAAAACATTTACAAATAGCCAATTGGGTCAGTTTAGATTGTGCGGTCCAACCCCAGCCCATGGGGCAGTAACACAGAGGTAGAGACTTTACGTTAAAAAAAAAAAAAAAAAAACTCCTTCCCTCCTTTGTTCAGGGTGCTCTTGCGTGATTAACGCAAATAAAAATCTTCTGCAGAAGTAAATTGCCTTACTAAAAAAACTTTTGCCTGAGTACTGGTTTCACTTTGCGCCACCGTATATTTTACTTCCAACAGTATTATTAATATGACAACAAAATACTTCTGTTCACCTTCTCAATACATTCAAAAAGAGAGAGTAAAAAAGAGATACAATTTTCCCATGCTCTGGGGTGGACGTGGCTCAGCTCAGGGAGGAAGCCCTGGCTGAAAAGTCTGCAACTTACGCTCTTACTTTTCTTCACTCAGCCCAGCATCTGATCACATCTTCTGTCACTCAGGGCCTGAGGGGGCGGAGCCTTAGGCATTATCCAATCAGGGACGCTGGGCTGGAAACGTCCAATCAGGCACGCAGCCTGAGCGAACAGCCCAGCATCTGATCACGTCTTCTGTCACTCAGGGCCTGAGGGGGCGGGGCCTTAAGCATTATCCAGTCAGGGACGCTGGGCTAGAAACGTCCAATCAGGCACGCAGCCGGAGCGAACAGGGCGGCTTCTGGTTTGGCGGGTCCTTTGTCTCTCGGTGCAGCCGGAGCTCCTGGTGTCCTGTTTACTGCTCTGTGTCCGGTACTCCTAGAGGCCCAGCCTCTGTGGCCCTGTGACCTGCAGGTATTGTGAGATCCACAGCTAAGACACCAGGACCCCTGGAAGCCTAGAAATGGTGAGAGTGCCGGTCGGACATCCCAAGCGAGGGGCAGGGGCTGGTTGGAACCGGTGGAAAGTGACGGTGGCAGGACTTAGGTATCCCCTTAGTCAGCTCCACAATTTGCGCCCCGAGTTCTCCTTGCCCAGCTGGGCCTCGGTTCCCTTCAGCCAAAAGATGGCGGCTGCGCTGACAGCCCAGCCCCCAGGCGTCCTGTCTCTTCACTGCGCGGTGACTGTGCCCTGGCCTGGAGCCCTCTCTGGGCAGCTCTGTCCCCGCAGCGCCGCTTCTCTCCCAGATTGTGCAGGGACCACGGGAAGAGTCGTCAGGGGAGAATCCTGACTCGGAGTGCGGGTTCACGAATGGGAAGAGCTTTAGTGCCTTGGGTTCACAGTTTCTCTTTTCTATTAAAAATTTATGGGGCTGGGCGCGGTGGCTCATTCCGGTAATCCCAGCACTTTGGGAGGCCGAGGCAGGCGGATCACTTGAGGTAAGGAGTTGTTAGGACAAACTAAGCTCCTCTTCAAAGACTCAACTTCCTGGTCAGAAGTTGTAAAAATTGTAAATCAACCCTACCTCTTCTTCCGCCTTCTCCTTTTCTCAAAACATCGCGCGTTTCTCCTATTTGGAAAAAGTTTGTGTCTAGCCCAACCGGGATCAGCTTAGATTGTGCTGTCCGACCCCAGCCTATATGGGAAGGACACAAAAATAGGAACTGCGTTAGGGTTAAATACCCCTTCCTGGCCCAGCGCGGTGGCTCATGCCTGTAATCCTAGCACTTTGTGAGGCTGTGGCGGGTGGATCACGAGGTCAGGCGTTCTAGGCCAGCCTGGCCAACATGGTGAAACCCCGTCTCTACTAAAAATACAAAAATTAGACGGGGTTGGTGGCAGGCGCCTTTAGTAATCCCAGCTACTTGGGAGGCTGAGGCACTAGACTTGCTTGAACCTGGGAGGCGGGGTGCAGTGAGCCTATATCTTGCCATTGTACTCCAGCCTTGGTGACAGAGTGAGACTCCGTCTAAAAAAAAAAAGACATCTTAAAATGGCCTTCCCTTATGTAAAACTGTGTTTAAGTAATTTCACGGATTTTTCAAACACTGAGTTTCAAAAACCAAGTGAATAACTCTGACATGACAATTAAAGCTTGAACCTGGTGACTCCAAGCTAAGGCTAATATTAAGCCTGAAACAGGAGGGTTTTTTTTTTTTTTTTTTTTTGGACAGGAGTTTTGCGTTTTGCTCTTGTCGCCCAGGTGGAGTGCAATGGCGTGACCATGGCTCACTGAAACCTCCGCCTCCTGGGTTCAAGCGATTCTCCTGCCTCAGCCTCTCAAGTAGCTGGGATTACAGGCATGCACCATCATGCCTGGCTAATTTCGTATTTTTAGTAGAGACGGGTTTTCTCCATGTTGATCAGGTTGGTCTCGAACTCCCGACCTCAAGTGATCTGCCCCCCTTGGCCTCCCGAAGTGCTGGGATTACAGACTTGTTATTCTGAGAGAAGCTACAGAGCCTAAAAAGCTGGGGCCTCACAAGCAGATGCAGTTAAGGTTAAGATGAAAGGAAACTGGAAGGATCTGGGTTTTTTTTGTTTTTTTTTTTTTTGAGACATCCCCTGTCGCCCAGGCTGGAGTAAGCTCACTGCAAGCTCCGCCTCCCGGGTTTACGCCATTCTCCTGCCTCAGCCTCCCGAGTAGGTGGAACTACAGGCACCCACCACCATGCCCAGCTAATTTTTAAAAATATTTTTTTAGTAGAGACGAGGTTTCACTGTGTTAGCCAGGATGGTCAACTCGCCTGGCCTCCCAAAGTGCTGGGATTACAGGCGTGAGCCACCATGCCTGGCCTTTGGGAGGATCTTACTGATGATGAAGTTGTTATTGTTTTGAGGAACATTTTAGACTTTGTAAAATAAAAACGTTAAATTTATGTTAAAAATGAATTTCAAAAAAGTATTACAGCAGGAGGAAGTACCAACTAACTATAAGATCTTTATGGCTTGCAAAAATGTAGGCAGAAAAGGGCTTTTCTCCCTAGGGAGGAGCAAATAAGATTAGAAAGGAGGTGGGAGGAGAATAGCAAATGGAGGGTGAAAAAGTCAGATTTTACATCAGAGAATGTCTTACCCTGAAATCACGTTCTTAGGAGGGATGTAAAATGGAATGTATGTTGACTCAGAGTGAGGGTAGCTCAAAGTTCAGGAGCCTGAGGGAGAGAGATAAACTTAAGTTTGATTAAGAAATATTTTATTTTATGCCTGGCCCAGTGGTTTATGCCGTAATCCCGGCACTTTGGGAGGCCAAGACGGGCAGATCACTAGGTCAGGAGATTGATACCATCCTGGCCAACATGGTGAAACTCCGTCGCTACTAAAAATACAAAAGTTAACTCGGTGTGGTGGCCCGCACCTGTATTCCCAGGTACTCAGGAGGCTGAGGCAGGAGAATTGCTAGAACCCGAGAAGCAGAGGTTGCAGTGAGCCAGATCAAGCCAGGGGACTCCATCCTGGAGACAGAGCGAGACTCTGTCTCAAAACAAACAAACAAGAAAACAAAAAAAATTTTACTTCAGACCAGGCACAGGCCGTGGTTCACACCTGTAATCCAGGCACTTTGGGAGGCAGAGGCAGGTGGATCATCTGAGGTCAGGAGTTCGAGACTAGCCTGGCCAACATGGTAGAACCCTGTGTCTACTACAAATACAAAAACTAGCTGAGTGTGGTGGCGGTTGCCTGTAATCCTAGAAACTTGGGAGGCAGAGGCAAGAGAATTGAACCCCGCAGGCAGAGGTTGCAGTGAGCCGAGATTGCGCCCCTGCCCTCCAGCCTGGGCAACAGAGCGAGATTCTGGCTCAAAAAAAAAAAAAAAAGAAATATTTTGACCACTGAAGACAAATTCAGCTGATATTTTAAAATAAGAAATAGGAGGAAATGTGCAGAGTGTGTGTCTGGCTGTGTGATAGGTAAGAAAAGAGAGCAATATCTAAGTCATAAGGGGAAGAGTATTTCTTTTTATAAACTTTCTGGAGCACACAAACGATGGAGAATTTTATTTTTATTTTTATTTTTTTTTGAGGCAGATTCTTGCTCTGTCGCCCAGGCTGGAGTGCAGTGGCACGATCTTGGCTCACTGCAGCCTCCGCCTCCCGGGTTGAAGCGATTCTCCTGCCTCAGCCTCCTAAGTAGCTGGGATTACAGGAGCCCGCCACCACGCCCGGCTAATTTTTGTATTTTTAGTAGAGATGGGGTTTCACAGTGTTGGCCAGGCTGGTCTAGAACTCCTGACCTTATGATCCACCCACCTCGGCCTCCCAAAGTGCTGGGATTACAGGCATGAGCCACCGTGCCTGGCCGGAGAATTTTATTAATCACAAATATTTTCCAGGATTATCTATGTGTTTCATCTTTCCCCATCTCTTTTCTTTGTTCTATGCATTTCTTCCTTTTGGCTTTTCCTGGGCTGCATCTTATATATGAAAGCAGTAAACATAACTACAGTGTTTTGCTGAGTTCTGTGAGTAGCTCTACCAAATTACTGAATTTCACTGAGGTGATAGACCCCAATTTTTAAACAGTAGCTCAGAAGCGTAGATGGGCCCATGGGGTTTGTTGCTGGCGTCTGCAGTGAGGACAGTGTTGTGGAACCAAGCCCTGAATCAGGGTCTGTGCTGACTCTGGGTAGTGTCAGAATTCCAATGTTAGACAATGAGTTGTTGTTGGAGAATTGTTTGATGTTCATCAAACTACAGATTTGGTGCCAGAAAAAAGATATCACGGAGGTCTGGCCTGGAATAAAACTCTGGGTGTTTGGGAATGGGAGGCTCTGCTCTCCTGTACACAGGCTGTCACACTGCCCATTGTCCTGCAATTCCACGTCTTCTCCCAGGGTGACAGATGACTGAAAACTTAGAGTAAAGGAGCTTCACCGTGGCATTTTTGATCTGTGTTTTGTGAAGAACCCACAAGTGTCTATAAGTCCCCTGGCATATCCCAACCCCCAGACACTGAATCTGCAGCAGCATCCTGTTTTCTCCACCAACCTAGGATCTGGACCACCTGTTCATAATCTCATCTGCCTGTATTCACACAGAAATAAATCAGAGTACAGCCCTACCTGGGTCACTGTCTGTAGCAAAAATCAGTCCTTTCACCTACATTGTGCTCTCTCCTACTCAGGGATTTATTTTTTTTCTTTTAGCTTTTATTTTTGGTTTGGGGTGCACATGTGGGTTTGTTATACAGCTAAAATTATGTTATTGGGATTTGGCGTGCAGATTATTTTGTCACTGAGGTACTAAACATAGCACCAAACAGGTATCTTTTCTGATCCTCTTATTCCTCCCACCCTCCACCCTCAGCTAGGCCTCAGTGTCTGTTGTTTTCTCTTTGTGTTTATGTGTTCTTATTATTTAGTTCTTACTTGTAAATAACAACATGCATTTGGTTTTCTGTTTCTGCATTAGTTTTCTAAGAATAATGGCCTCCAGCTTCATCAATGTTACTGCAAAGAACATGATCTTCTTTTTTTAATGGCCACAGAGTATTCCGTGATGTTTATGTACCATATTTTGTTTTTACTGAATCTTTTACTTTATTTTTGGAGACAGGGTCTCACTTATGGCCCAGGCTCGAGTGCCATGGCATAATATTGGCTTACTTTAGCCTCAACCTCCCAGGCTCAAGGAATTCTCTCCTACCTCATCCTCCCAAGTAGCTGAAACTACATGTATGCATAACCACACCTGGCCAATTTTTCTTTTCTTTCTTTTTTTTTTTTTTTTTTTTTGATTTTCTGTGGAGACAGAATTTTGCCGTGTTGCCAGGCAGGTCTCAAACTTCTAAGTTCAGACGATCCACCAACCTCATTCTCCGCCTCCCAAAGTGCTGGGATTACAGATATGAGCCACCGCATCTGACCATACCATATTTTCTTTATCCATTCTACCATTGATAGGCATTTATGGCCTGTCCATGTCTTTGCTGTTTTGAATAGTGCTGCAGTGAACATGCATGCGGATG